ACTGCCGCGACAACGAAAAGACACGATAACACGTGTAAGCGCTGCCCAACAGAAGCAGAAAACTCGACATGATCAGGGTCTTAGAAGTGAAAGAAGCTTCGCCATAGGGAACAAGGTGCTGATGTACAAAGCGTCCCAAGAGAATTCACGGAGTAATAAACTAGACCCAAAATGGGTAGGCCCGCTATACATACACGAGATTCGACCAAACGCTGTATATCGTTTACGTACGATGGATGGGAAGGTGCTGAAAAGATCAATAAACCGACAGTTACTGAAAAAGTACGAAGAGCCGATAGAGTATTAGTAATAGCAAGACCAACGCCGCAATGACGCAAGGACCCACAGGAAAAGAAGCCAACGGAAGTACGTGAAAACAACACCAAAAAAAAACCAAGACCATATTTACCATGACGGTCCTCCAACGACACCGATGACGGAGACGACGAATGCTACGAATCGCGACGACAAGCCCAGGAACACGAGGAGAATGCCGAATTCGTCGAATCGCAAAAGCTACGGAGGCGGACGAAACCAAGCAAGACGACGAGGACAAGAAAAGTATAAGAGGGGAAGAAAATAAAAACAGATATGGCGAACGGAACGCTTATCTCACCTCACAAAGATAACAGCTCCGATGAGAATTCCGGGAAGCTATGATCACGATCACGATCGCGATCGCACGCCCCCCCTCCCCGAGAAATCACGATACAACGGCATAACCTACAAAATGAACAAAAACTCGATACCATTACCACCATTCAACCATGCGCGCCGATACTTACCACAGCTTGATGATCGCTCGTAATACTCGCGATTAAGGAGGGGAAGGGAAAATTTAAGACAAAATTGTTTTTGTTTAAAATAGTAGTATAGAACTATCTAATAACGCGGAAAGAATAGCTTACCTTGTCTTCAACCACCATTTTTTTTTTTTTAATCCTTTTAATCTTTGATTTTTTTTAGTTAGTATTTACCTTATTTTATTTTTCATTCTAATTGCAAAAAAAAAAAAAAAAAAAAAAAAAAAAATCGGAAAAAGAAATTTTAAGTTTATTGATATTTTCACCTTTGACTTTACATTATTATTATTAGGTTAGAATTTAAGAAGCGTAGTATTAAATCATCCTTGTCTTTAATTTCTAATTTTTGGAGGAAATTTATGTGAATAAGTTATCTGAGTCCACAAAAATAGCTGTAGACGACCTTGGTTTCCAGAGATGGAAATCCATAGCATATGCTGGTTAAGGGCTGGTCAGCCATGTAGCGCCTATGGTAGCATGATGGTGTTTGAGGCTATAGCATTCAGATAATTTAATCATAGAAATAATCTTTGAAACTATTTGATTTTATTATTTTATTAAATATTATATCTTAGTATTACAGGAACAGATTTTTAGTTACATTTCTTTTGAATTAGTGATAATTTTGTGGTACCCTTTAGCTACTGTATGAAATACAGTAC